GGTTGGTCCAGTGGCGCCCAGAGCGGCGCTACGGGACCAACCGGCAGCGCCCCAGCTGCTGTACCACAGGCGTCCGGAGCAAAGCCGCGGAGCACGGGGGCAGCGGGACAGCCCAGACGTGCCGTGGCTATCCTGCTGCCCTTTCTGTTTGCCTGTAATAATCTTTGGATACATCACAAGAATTCCTCACGTGGGGGTTCTCCATAGTATCTACATTTGTTTCATATGCAGGAGTGCATCACTTTCAATTAGCTTTAACACTGTTCCCATGTTTGTGTCTAGCTTTAAAGAGCACGGGGGCAGCGGGACAGCCCAGACGTGCCGTGGCTATCCTGCTGCCCTTTCTGTTTGCCTGTAATAATCTTTGGATACATCACAAGAATTCCTCACGTGGGGGTTCTCCATAGTATCTACATTTGTTTCATATGCAGGAGTGCATCACTTTCAATTAGCTTTAACACTGTTCCCATGTTTGTGTCTAGCTTTAAAAAAATTTACATATTATTTGTTACTGATAATTTCTCTCTATTTCTGTACTGCTTTCTCATTTATGAAGTTTCTCTTGAACTTTAAATAACCAGTAGCTGTTCAGTTTTCCTAAGTGCTACTGTTTGGAAGATTCCATCCAAACAAAGTATTTTTGGGGATGTTGTCCCCTCCCTCCCAGGATCCTTAAAAGACTCCCAGATCACATGGAGGGAGAGGCTGCAGTAAATACAACAGACTCATAAGCAGCAGTGGTAGAAGGAGGAGCTGAGCAGAAAGGGAGGGTCTTCTATAGAGTTTGATGTCACAACCATCCAGTAACATAGATCTTTCCATATTTATCAGCAAGGCTTAATAGTGAATAGGTGTATGATATCGGGAAACAGTTTGGGGGAGGGAAGGGTGATGCACAGAAGTAGAAGGTTATTTATATACACATATAATATGGGTTTATATTGAGTGTAAGGGGGAGATTCAATAACTGCATTTTCTGTCTTTATGTTAAGGGAAGAGGTTTAATGACTGAACCCTCATTTCCTGCCATTGAGAATTTTTCTGTAGGTTTGAACTCATTTAATGCACTTTGTTACCACGGTAGGCAATAATGGCCTGGTATACAATAGGACTGTGAAAGTGTATCCATGTACATGGTTAATCAATGACTCTGCGCTCATCAGTGAATTTTCACAGTTAAATACAGGCTCCTGGTATGCGCAGGGAGTCTGCTTAAAAGCTGGCTCCCGGCATGCACCGGCTTCTGGAGAGCTGCCTGCTGCCCCACACTGCTGCTTCTGATACAGTGGCAGCAGCACAGGGCAGCAGGCAGGAGCTGATATGCAGGGGAGCCATTTTAAAAGCCGTTTTTTGGCATGCATTATTTCCCTGGGAGCTGCCTGCTGTCCAATATATAACCAAGTAGCTGCTGAAATCTTCAGCAGTTACATGATTATTTAATTACACACACATTAATATCCATACAATTAGATATGTGTGTTTGTTCTAGAAGATTCCAGCCAATTAAGATGATCACATTTCATTTTAGTATAACTTGTGGCCCAGCAGATGGTACTAAAGTGAATAATCCAAGACACTTCATTAAGTTTGCTAACTTGTCTCCATGATGCAATAAAAATGCTAGGCCACCACTTACATCACACATTTTTGCTGGAATATCAGACCATATTTTACCGTGATGAAATAGTTGGCTGTCAATTGACTAGTCACTAGACCATCTTGTTAAACCTAACATTGCAATTCTAATCCTGTTGGTTAATCCATTTTACGACCAGGTAAATGAAAGAATGGGAAACTTATTGGCTACGTCTACATTGGCCCCTTTTCCGGAAGGGGCATGGTAATTTTTGAAATCGCAATAGGGAAATGCGCGGGGGGATTTAAATATCCCCCGCGGCATTTAAATAAAAATGTCCGCCGCTTTTTTCCGGCTTTTAGAAAAGCCGGAAAAGAGCATCTACACTGGCCCCGATCCTCCGGAAAAAAAGCCCTTTTCCGGAGGATCTTATTCCTACTTATTCCTTCAAAGTAGGAATAAGATCCTCCGGAAAAGGGCTTTTTTTCTGGAGGATCGGGGCCAGTGTAGATGCTCTTTTCCAGCTTTTCTAAAAGCCGGAAAAAAGCGGCGGACATTTTTATTTAAATGCCGCGGGGGATATTTAAATCCCCCGCGCATTTCCCTATTGCGATTTCAAAAATTACCATGCCCCTTCCGGAAAAGGGGCCAATGTAGACGAGCCCATTCTGAATTACCCAAAACTTCAGTTTTCCTGAGTTAAAAGATATACAGATCCATCACTCCCATCTCTGGATAATTTCTTTGGCTAAAAAGCCATATTTGATTCATTCAAGTTGGTGCTTAGCCATTCTGTAGAAGGAATTCACAGTGTATTACTATAGCACATATAAATTTTACTGACAAGTTTCAGTCAACTAAGGTGTTATACTTACTTGAGAAAGCGGTTTAAACTGGCAAGTTTTTCAGAATTCCTGACCATATCTTCACATATCAGTGATAGATAGGCCTGTTGCTGCTTATGTAGCTGCATGCAGGCTGAGAGACTATAATGGTTCTGTGGACCTTGTTACTCAGAGGAAATTTTTGATAAGTCAGAATTAGGGATGTGAAGATTTAACCAGTTAACTGGTAAGCCTCACCCTTAAAGCCTCAGTGTGGGCAGGGGTCTGCTCCAGCCCCTCAGGGGGCCATCATGGGCAGGGACTGCTCTGGCGTGCTGACTATTAAAGTAGCTCCTGCCTTCAGGGAGTGGAAGGGGTACAGGCAGGGGCTGCTCTGGCCAGGCTGGAGTAGCCCCTGCTTCTGGCCAGAGAGAATTGTGTGTTACTGCAGGGGTCGGGGGAGTGTCCTTCCCCCAGTCCCCTCCACTTATACACCTTTAATCTTTTAACTGGTTAAACAATATGTTTACTGGTTAAATAATTAAATAGGATTTTGCATCCCTAGTCAAAATAGGTTTCATAATCATCTATTCCAGTACTGTCCATACACCCATTTGGGTTTAACTTGTCCACAGGACCCAAAAAAAGGCCTCAAATTGCTGTGGTAGTCTACATTGGTCTTGGTGAAGGTCTGTAGATTTCACTATTCTCTTCTGAAGCTAATCAAGTTAATTCATTCTTGGTTCAAGTTCTTTTGACTAGGTGAAATATGACACACTCATCTACATTTACTTAAATATATTCTCTATTTTAGTTGGAGGAAAGCCGCAATGTTCAAAAACAGATGAAGATACTGCAGAAGAAACAAGCGCAGGTTGTGAAAGAGAAAGTCCACTTGCAGAGTGAGCATAGCAAGGCCATTCTAGCACGCAGCAAATTGGAATCTCTGTGCCGGGAGCTTCAGCGTCATAACAAGACTTTAAAGGTCAGTTTACTGATTGGTATTTAAAATTCATACCTGTTGCTATCTGTCGGGTATTTGCTATGCTTCGTGTCCAGTACCCAGATCAATAGAGTACGTCAATCCTGTTTGACTGTAGAGATTGTGAAAATTGGTGTTCTTTCTCCAGTTAGTAGTTTCCTTAAAATGGTTCATGGATCATAGTAGTTTAGACTGCTGCCGTGTCTAGTCTTGTCACAGTAGTGATTGAGAGCTGCATTATTGGCTACCAGTAAAAGAATGTAAACAAAATCAAAATAGTGTAAAATGATGAGAGATAATCAAAGCTTGTATTTTTCTAGGGTATAATTTGCAGGAGTAACATGGAAAGGGGTTTGAGATGCTCTTCATTCCCTGCATGGTTATTTTAGGGAATTGCTTCACCAATTAATTTTGTTTAATTTTAAGGTAGCTTTTAAATAGTAGTACAAAAACACTGAAGAGGAGGTCAACTCAACCATTCAGGTTTTTCTTGGAAATGCATTGATGCAGGGATATTTATTTATTTAGCTAGCTAGCTTGCTTGCTTCCTGGATAATTGTTGCTTTCCTTACCAAAACATACTTACATCTTCAGTTAAACCCTTTCTCACTTCATAAAGATGAGTGCCCTTCAATCTGTACAGTACACATATCCATTTAGATCAGTTGAAAAGTAAAAACAGACAAAAACAATTAACTGCTGGAGCTTAACGTGCCTAACCCAAAATATGTAGAGCATAGTAATAGATTGCTGAATGTATATTAAAATACCTACATTAAAATACCCAAATATATCCAGAGTGGTTGCAAGACCAAAAACCGACTGCTCTAAAGAAGCATCCTGATAAGATATCAAATATGCTAACTTGGTAAAGATTTAATTTTATCAGCTTGGGCAAAACTTTGATTTTGCTTTTCGAACACACCAAAGTTGTCAAAGTATACAGACATGAAGTATTCATTCTGACTCATCTCTGTCTGTTTGTATGGGCATATTATGTCATTGTAAACTTGCACACCATTAACAAATACTTTTGGATAAAAGGAAGAAAACATGCAGCAAGCGCGTGAAGAAGAGGAGAGACGTAAAGAAGCAACTGCACATTTCCAGATTACATTGAATGAAATTCAGGCCCAGCTGGAACAGCATGATGTACACAATGCCAAGCTCCGCCAAGAAAATATTGAATTGGGAGAGAAGCTGAAGAAACTAATTGAACAGTATGCTTTGCGGGAAGAGGTAATTTAAATTTATGCTTCCTTGGGCACTCAAATTACTACATACTTTTCTTCATTTAACTAGTGCCTTTCTTTAAAACATTCTTTGGTAATCTAAATGGTAAAATCTAATTCTGCTTAAACAAAAGGTGTAAAAGCCTTTTTTTTTAAATTTCTGGCCTTTTGCATAGTTATACATCTAATTCTGCTTAAACAAAAGATGTAAAAGCCTTTTTTTTTAAATTTCTGGCCTTTTAACAAAAGCTAGGTGGATGTTTGGACACACATCTCTTTCTTTCATTCCCCATCCCATTTCCATTGAATTCTCTGGATCACTCACAGACATCAAAGAATCCATTTTCCTAGACATTTCCACTGACAATAATGGATTTATTACAGTTAAACAAAAGTATATGGTACATGAAGTCATTAGTGATTACATGGTTTTTTTTCATTATAATATGAGCTAATGGCTCAATTTGAATAGCTCAAAACGAGTAAAAACAGTGGAAAATATTTAGGAAGTTCTTTTGTATATTTATTTTGAATTGTTGGCTCTGTCTCTTATGCAAACATACGTTTAAGATATTTAAATGACTTCTAAATTAGCTTAAGAAAAAAACCTTTCAGAAAAATGAAATACTGTGCTGCTGTGCTCTTGAACTTTCAGGGAGCCTGTTTTGTTTCTCAAGTGTGTGCTGTCTCCTTTCCATTATCTGGTTTGGCCACATAACTCCTATTGGCATAGGGCCACTGAAATAGCACCCTATTTCTAGGATTTTGACAGCTGACAAAAAAAAATGTTCAGTTTTTTTATATATTGGCAGTAATGTTTAATTTAGAAATGTTTGTTATAAAAACTTCTTCACTTTTTTTGGTGGTGCTACAGTTTAAAGTTCAGGTTTCCTCACATTTCAGTAGTTGAGGAAATAATGTATAGAGCAGAGGTCAGCAACTTACAGCTCGTGTGCCGCTTATGGCACGCATGCCCGATGTTCTGTGGCATGCAGGACAGGAGCTCAGCCCCCACGCACAGTGGCTCGAGCCTCAGCTGTGCAGCTGCAGACAGGAGCACCAGCTCCATCTTTCTGCTGAGGAGGAGGGAAAGGAAGAGAAGCGTGTGCATGTTTCTGGGGCTGCCCCTGCCCAGCTTGGGTGTTCAGCTTCTAGAAACTAAGATGTTAACATCCCCCACACTACAGGCTCTGCCTCCTGCTCCTGGAGGGGATGGGGCTTGGCCTGCTCCATGGATCAGGCCTGTTGTACCCCCCACCCCATACCCTCTCCTGCCGCCAAACTCCTTTCCAGACCCTGCCCTCCTCACCCTCTACTGAACCCCTCCTCCCACCGAGATCGTGCACTCCATCCCTATCCCTCTCACTGGCAGCCCTGTCCCACACACTAAACTCCTTTTTTTTTGTCCCCACCCCAGAGCCTAAGGGAGTCCCCAAAATCCACTAACCCTGGAACCCTAGAAATGTAAATCTGGCCTTATAGGAAGGCCCTGAACCTTGGTCCTCCCTAACCTTCCCCTTGCTCCATGGGGCTGGAGCACCAGAAGAGTGAGGTTTCTCAGCCACATCAGTGAGGGCTGGGGTTTTTTTTTTTTTGAGGAGTTTTTTTTGCTTCTCACTTATGTGGTCTCCAACTGATTTTTCTGTGTGTCAGTGGTCCCCAACCCAAAAAAATTCCCCCACCCTTTCTATAAATAAAGAAAACATTGCAGTGTTTCAAAGGGGCAGCACCGCAGGATCCTGGCATCAGCTGGAGTCCCTACCTGACCCCAGGCTCTGTGCAGCGCTGCCCCTTTGAATCACTACCCGGCGCCTCAAAGGGGCAGCACAGTAGGAGCCGGGGATCCACTGGGCACTCCGTCTGATCCCTGGCTCCCAAAAGAGCAGCTCTGCCAGAAGCCCGGGGTCAGCTGGGGACTCTGCAAAGGGGCAGCCCAGCATTAATGCCTGCAATTAACGCATTAAAAAAACAAACATGTTAATCCTTCCCTGCATTAATCGCAGGCGTTAACCCACATCAAATGATAGCCCTAAAATGAAGTTTGATAAACTAATTAAACCATTCTCCCTAGCTGCAGCACTAGCAAAATGTAATTATGTAATTAACGGTGAGTTTCCATTAGCAACTGGGGATCTGTGGAAAGGTTTGCATTGAGCCAGGGGAGCGAAGTAGAGAGAGCCCCTCCTTTCCACATGGGAGAGTGGAACAGCCCTGGGCAGGAGAGTTAAATCTTGGCACGTCGCTTCGGAAAGGTTGCCAACCCCTGGTATAGAGTATAAATATCAATTCAAGGTAAATACTTTATTTGAAGTCTAGATTAGATACTGAGAAAATCAGATTCACTAAAGTACACAGTTATATATGTGGCATGTAGGAAAATAAAATGAAGGTTATTTATTGAACTATTTTTGCATTTGTGTTATAAATGAAAGTTAAGTGATAATGATTATAATCCGTTCCCTTTTATGGTGTGTGCTACAGTTTTCTTTGGTTCCCAGCCAGCAGCTAAGATACACAGTTCTAGAATAAGTGTTACCCGTTTTTTTTCATAGTGTGGATTGTTCTAATACTGGGGCTGTTATGCATCACTTCCGTCCCCTCCCATTCTTGATCACAATGTCCTGTGGTAACTATAGCAACTGTTTATCTGGAAAAGTAATACTAGGAAGTTAATGTAATTTAGTGCTGTTAAACAGCTGGAAATGAGATTTGGCACTTAGCTGTTTGTAGGCCACAGTTCGCAAACATGCATTACTGCCATCTGCAAGTATTGGAAAATCGTAAGATTAAAAAAAATGTGCAAGTGTTTTGCTTTCTGGTTTTTAAGACACACTTGGGTCATGTTTTCATGCTTCACTCATCAACTGTTAAAGGTAAAAACGTTTTAAAATGAAAGTTCAGATTCTCATGTAATCACTTGACTCTAGGATGGGGCTTTAAAAAATAATACCACATATATTGTGATACTCACAATATTGCAAGAGTTGGCAACTAAATCATTGGGCCACAAGACCCAAATACTAACAATATATAAACCAATTTTTTCCCATTTAAAAAAAAAAATCTGTTTTGGTCTAACTCAGTACTGCTCATATTACAGTCAGGTTTTACTTTTTCCTTAGCATATTGACAAAGTGTTCAAGCATAAAGAATTGCAGCAACAACTGGTGGATGCCAAACTTCAGCAAACCACACAACTTATAAAAGAAGCTGAGGAAAAACATCAGCGAGAGAGGGAGTTTGTAAGTTGCTTCTAAGCTTGCTTTTAAACAACAAGAAACAGAGTAAATGAAGGGGTAGCATATTTAGGGCTAAAATACCTTTTCTATAAAATACTAAGATCCAAACATTTTTTTTTTTAATTAAAAGGAGCCTGAATTTTACCTGCAGTGTGCATCTATACAGTTAATGTGCATGGTATATAAACCATTATCTGTTTGCACCTGTATGTATAATATCTTTTATGCATTCTGTTAAGCTTGGAAATTAATCCATGTAGTACAACTTTAGGCAGCAGAAGAACAAGAGAATGTGTTCCAAAATTTGGTTAGCTGTACTATAATAAATAACTTTAAGGCAGAAAGAGGATGGAAGTAGAAATAATCATCTTAAAGAACACTTGCTGTTACCAGGAAGTGTGTGCCTAATGTTTTCTGAGCACATGGTGAGTGTAAAACCAACATTTCAGTTGAAGTCTCAATTGAAAATGTTCCCTCTGCTGATGAAGTGGCTTCAGAAGTTATGGGCCTGATACAGTGCCTACTTAAGTTAGTTGGAGTCTTTGGAGCAAGCCCTAAATCTACACACAACCCTCCATGCAAAGTTGTGGCTTTGTTTCCAGAGTTTGAATAAAATTTTATGAGGTATTGGGGAAAGGGATACGTCTTTTATTTGTTTTATATTTATAGAAAGGATATAGAAAAAAACTGATGTTTCAAAATTGGTATTAATGTAGTCTTCATTGAGAACTGGTATTAATGTGTGATTTGGGATGGAGGGGTCAAAAATTAAGTAACATTGCACCACATTCCCTAATCTTTGAAGACCGAGATTTAAAGTTAGACAATATCTAGTTTTGGTGCTTTAAGAATTTTTCTTAGATTTATAGGTTGTAAGTATTAGAAGCTTCTGTTTTCTGAAAACTAAGACATACTGGTAATCTCCTGAATTTACACTAAAAGTAGATTTTTAGAAAGTTTAAATTTTAGCCAAGTCTTCACAAAAAACTCTCCCATTTTGGCATCACTAAACTTTCTTCCCTTGGCAACTGCTGTACATAAAACAGTAAGGCTGTGTTACATTTTATCAAGCCATTCTTCTTCAAATTATAACATGGTTATTAGGCTAGAGTCCTGCATTCCGTCTTCTACTGAGACGCCTAGCCCCACCTCTGTTGAAAATACCTTGGGAGTCATCTAGTGTAATGGACATATGCAATCACTTGAAACAGTTACCTTCTCGTAACTTGTTCTTCGAGATGTGCTGCATATGTCCTTTATGCAACCCACCCTCCTTCTCCAACATATCAGTTTGTCATCTAAGATTCTGGTACAAAGAAACTGAAAGATGGGTGGTGCAGTTCTGCCCTTAGTATACTTTGCACTTGGAATTCAAGAGATGCATAAGCACAGACATGCCCATCTCTGTGGGTGCATTAGGCAAAACTTTCCAGTACTGGTGCATAAGCATATGCATCTATAATTAACACACATGCACCAATTTCAAAGGACAGCAGTTACAAGAAGGCAAGTAACCATCTATTCCCATTTACATTATCACTTACATTTTGCCCTTCAATATAATGTACAATTAATGCAGTATCATTCTGTCCACTTTTTAGCTATTAAAAGAAGCTACGGAGTCCAGACACAAATGCGAGCAAATGAAGCAGCAGGAAGCCCAACTTAAACAGCAGGTAACTTAATAAAAATTGTAAATGTGCTGTTTGATACAGATGCCCCTCCATGAAAATATCAAGAGATGCTTATGGTTTTGAAGAAATACAAAAAATTGCAAATTAAACTTCTGTGAACAGAATCATTGAATTTTTCTGAAAAATTCTCTGTCCCTACCTTTTACCTATCCCTACCTTTCATTCACTGTG